ACCTCTTTGGCTTTTTTCCCTTCTATTTTCCCTGTTCCTGACCTTTATGTTTCAGTCTCCAGCCACTCACCATTTTATTGGTTATGAGACTGATGAGTTGAATAATTCCAACCATTTGAAAATATTCCCAAGAAAAACCAGACCCCCAGAATAACTGCTTTCCTCTTTTTGCCTTAACAGATGATGTGGATGAGAAAATTTTCATTTCTTTGGTTAAAAAACAAAACAAGTCCTTAATTGGCATATTGTGATTGATTTGATTAAAGTTTATGGCATAATCTGTCTAAAATCAAAAGTTCATGATCTATAGTTCAATTTACCAAAAATATTCATGTAAATGTACAAAGACAGTGTTACTCATGAAAGAAATGAAAGACAATTTCAGGAAGCAACAGCTGTTTATGCACCCTAACCTGATGGCAAACTTAAAAAAAAAAAAAAAGAACAGTTAATGGTTTAAGTGAAACAATTCCCCTGCCGATCTAACGCAATTTTAACTTGATACATCTATTGCCTGATGTCTAACACCTATGCAATAGGTTTTACTACTACTATATTAAATCTACTACTTTAATGGTCTTTCTACCATCTGCCAAATGTTATTTTTTCAGTGAAAAGAGAATAGCATGGTGAAGACTCCATCGATCCTGCCTCTATAAATCACTCAGGTGGCCCGCTTTCATTGCCTCCTATCAAACTCAAGGACACACTAGTTGGTAACATATCAATAGAGTCTTATACTAAAACCAGATGAAATTTAGCTACTTAGAAATTTAGGTGCTGGCAAGAGGCAGAGATGCAAGGATTTAAAATGCAAGGATTTTTATGTCTGTGAGTATTGGTAAATATAAGCTAAATGATAATAGCTTGTAAACTCATGCTAATTTTGAACCAATTTAATACCACTTACATGTTTATATTCACATGCTTAGTTGACTTTAGCATTAAGAAGCTTAAATTCTATTTAAGTCGTTTCCTTATATTCAGGAGAACCAAATCATTGAAGTCCATTGGTAGTGGCAGATTTGTTCATCGTTTCTATCAAAATCTACCACAGAGCACTAGGGGGCAGGAAGCCATTATAATTTCTTATTATCTTACTCATTTGCTGACAAAAAAGATGGTGTAAAGATTGCAATCCAGTACTTGGCTCTGAATTGAATGTATCAATTTACTAATCACCATTGTAACAAAGGAAGAAGTCACAGGAAACTCTAAGGCCAGGGGATGACATATATAAAAGACATGATTTCATTTCAGAATCAGGAATATTAACAGTTTTATGTGATAAAATTTGCAGAACTCTCTGTACTTAACCTGTTTGAGAAAGGAATAGTTAAGTAGACAGCCTATAAAGCCCCCAAATAAGCTTTATTTCAAAAGTTACCATGTTGTTTTTATTGTCCTTAAACCAATTGCTTATACCAGTCAGAATGAGCAGAGCTCATTTTTGGGTGACAAAAATATAATTCTGTCCAGGTTATGAAGGTCATTTTCCCTTTCTAATGCTTATGCAATCCCTGATGTGGGAGAAAATGTTTTAAGAGATGATCTCTTTAAAAAAAAATAGGGCAAAGCATTGTTGCAAAAAATATAATTCTACCCAGAATCACTGAGGCCGTTTAGAAGACTTATGAACTTAGGACTTTGAAGGAAAACTTCTCAGTGTGCATGTGTATACTTTATTTTTGTTTGCAGAGTGTGCAACATTTAATATTTGCAGAAAACAATGTTAGCTTGATGGCTGAAGGCACTCAGTAAAAAGAATATGAACTTTTAAACTTGTTAGATCCATCTTCCAATTAGAGATTTCCCATTAACAAGTTAAAATGCGTTGTGGGGCACCTTGCTGGCTCAGTCAGTAATAGAGCATGTGGTGCTTGATCTCGGAGTCGTGAGTTCGAATCCCACCTTGGATGTCGAGATTACTTACCTAATTTTTTTTTAAGTTAAAATATATTGTAAAATTATTTGATTTGAAGAAAGACCTCTTAACTGCTTCCTTTCTCCCTACTTTCTTCTACCTGGCTGACCCCTTTTCATGTTGCATGTGTCCTACTCATTCTAGCTTAAATTACATGAGAAAAAAACGTGCCTCTAGAGCTGAAGAATTCTATTAGTAATAAGAACACCTTATATTTGAAGGGTACAGTGAGTTACATCAAGGAAGAAATTAAATAAATTTAAGTCCCAGGAACTATGTTTTCGTTTCCATTCTTTGTTCTAGTAATATTATGCTGGCCTAGTACCCAAAGCCATGACATTCTGACTTAAGAATTATGTTGTGTGTAGTAGAGCAGTGAACTTGTAATATTATTTTTCTTGAGTTTTGTCTTTTTCTGTGTGGCAGTGGTGAAATAGGGCCTTCTAAACCTCTGGAGAAGTGAGATCTGAATTTGGAGAGGACATGGGGAAGAATCAATCTTCAACAGATAATCTTTAAGTCCAGACCCAGGAATATCAGATCTGAAGTGACACCATCTTTTCTGTCTTCCTGACAAACCTCATCAATCCCCAAGGTTCCAGTTTCAAGGATCCAAGGAAACTCAGTAAAGATCACTTTGGAATCACTTTGCTGTGACAAAATTGATTCATGGTGACTCTCCTAGTATTTGTGGAAAATCTGCTAAAGAAAAGTAACTAGAATATTCCTATGGCATCCGTGGTTAAAGCTACACTAAAATGAAACTTTATATGCTAATTATCTTCCATGGCCCCTTCTAAAATAAAAGGTTTGCTAGGCTACTATAAATACATTATAAAGAGATAATAACGTATCTGTATAAACACATATAATCCTAAACTTAAAATAATCTCAATCACAGTTTATATACTATGAAATGTAGTTAGATAATTTTAAAAAATTATACCCCCAAATCTGTAGTTTAGAGTATATATAAAAAGATGTGGGTACAGAGAAAAAAATATGAGACCAAGTTTTTTAAAAAGAAAAGATAACCTAGTTATTACTCATTGTAATGTAACATTTGCCCTTCCTCCTTTTTCACTGTATATACTTGTCACAGACTGGATTATTAATATTAATGAAGCTCCCTTTTAAACCTGTTAACTCAAAGGAAAACCAGAAGTGGTTATTGTTACTTCAATAATAGATTTTCATAAATCACAGACAACAAAAAGAATGTATCTTAAGACACATTATTTTCTTCTGAACTTAGCAATATAACCTAATAAGGTAGAATGAGTTTCTGTTAAATATGTATTCTCGGTATTACCATATAATACCATATTTCTCATATTTCAAGATAAAATTTAACTGAGTATGGAGTGAAACAATGATTGATGTGTTTTAAAAAAACTTTCACTGGGAAATGAAATGTTTGCTGAGATTATAACCTGGCTTCAAATACTTTGTTTTATATATATATATGCTCATACACACATTTCTTAACCATATGAATCTTACAGCCGTATTATTTCCTTATTGTGAAATGCTCGTAGTTTTACTTTTGTTTAACTGTCTATCCATTATTTATTATTATTTTGTTTCTTATGCAATATCCTGATGTTATATATTTCCAGAAATGCTTATTTTGTTTTTATGCCTATTTCTTCAAATGTTTTAATAAAGAATTACATAAGAAATATATCTTAGAGTATATATAATAGTATATGCAAAAGCTAAATCATTTAAAATCTCTAGCTATAATGTGGGATGATAATTGAATATTCCTTCTAATAATTAGACTAACAAAAAATTAGATAAAGTTAATTAGAATGTGGTAGTAGGTATGGGGGCCTGAAGGGAAAAGAGAAATACACTAAAGACTTCAAGTTCATATGAAATCAACTGCTTTAAGAGAAATAAGTTTAGAAAAGCATTAGGTTCTAAAAAAACAAAAACAAAGTAAAAAACTATCATTAATCTCTTGGGAAGCATATAAAACTGCAGACTTATAACAAGTAGGAAACAGACAAGATAAAAGATTACCTATAATTAAAAGTGCCAGATCGATACAGTAGTGACTCCACAAAAAATTTTTGACTGCTAGAAGTAGATTTAGAAAAGAAATATGGCTTAAATTTTGACTGTACTAAACTATAACTGTAATGAATTACAATAATTATAAGTGATATAAATGCATTCTATAATGTGATTATTTTCTGTATGTTAGTATAAAATGGAGTTACTGAGTTACATGGAAAATTTTTGTTACATTTTTTAATCCATTGCTTTTCCTTAATAAAATTTCCTCCTCTATGTTCAGAAGTTAAGCTGTCTGTATATTACTTTTATTTATACAGTATTTTTTCAACCTGGCTCTTTTATAAAATTATTTGTCTGAAAAGTTATTATCAACTCCATCCATTCTCTAATACAAAAATAATAAAGTATCTGAAACAGCTAATTATTATGTTCCTGAGCAGCTTAAGAAATGCACAAAGCAGGGACACCTGGCTGGCTCAGTCTGAACAGCACGTGACTCTTGATCTTGGGGTTGTAAGTTCGAGCCCCATGTTGTGGGTACAGATTACTTAAAATCTTAAAAAAAAAAAAAAGTGTACAAAGCAAAACTAAAAAACCATTCCTATTGCCAAATCCTGGATTCTTTTATACAGAATGATTAGAAAAGTACTATCTCATGGCAAACACAGATGGCAACAAATTAATTAGGTTTCCTCATAATGTAAAAAGGAGTAACAGGGGCACTTTGGTGGCTCAGTCAGTTGAGCCTCCGACTTTTGATTTCGGCTCAGGTCATGATCCCAGGGTCTGGGATGGAGCTCCATAATATTGGGCTCCTCACTGAGCATGGAGCCTGCTTAAGATTCTTTCTCTTTCTACCTCTACTCCCTCCCCCACTCATGCTTTCTCTAAAATAAAAAAATACTTATTTATAAAAAATGCACTGCCATAGTATTTAGTTCTTTCAGAGTGTTAATTTTCAAAATAACAATTTAGAGAAATAACTTCCCTACTAATATAATTCATTTTGTTTATTTTCAGCTTAAGAGTTTAATAAGTTGCACACCCCCTCCACTGATCAGCAAAGTGTATTCTCTTCCTTTCAGTCCAGTTCCTAAAGATGATTACCATTAATTGCACAAAATCTCGTTAAGTATTAACAATTATGACAATATTGGGTCAGTCAGACTATTCCACAAGATTCTATCCTTGAAGTTAGCACTGTACAGAACTGAAGTAAGGCCCAGTGAGTGTTGTTGTCACAGATTCACTTCTTTTCCGGAAAAGCCTCTCTTCCAGGTGCAGGTCTTGGCTTTCCATACGAGGAAGTGTCCTACTCCAGACCACTGTGTATCTGCAGTTTAATTTTAACTTTTAAAGACAGAGGTTTTTAAGACTAAAAGAACTGGTGAAATTTTTCCTACAATGATAGGTGATTAGAGAAAAATTTTGGGACAGGGTACTGCAAATGAAGTATAAAATGGAAGTATTTATAGAGATTGTTTCATTTTTTTATTTTAAAAAAATTTTAATGTTTATTCATTTTTGAGAGACAGAGTGTGAGCAGAGGAGGGGCAGAGAGGGAGGAAGACATAGAATCCGAAGCAGGCTCCAGGCTCTGAGCTGTCAGCACAGAGCCCGACACAGGGCTCAAACTCCCAAACTGCAAGATCATGAACTGAGCCGAAGTCGGAGGCTTAATCGACTGAGCCACTCAGGCACCCCCTAGAAATTGTTTTTAATGTTTATTTATTCTTGAGAGAGAGACACACACACAGAGCACAAGTCAGGGAGGGGCAGAGAGAGAAGGAGACACAGAATCCGAAGCAGGCTCCAGGCTCTGAGCTGTCAGAGCAGGGCCAAATGTGGGGCTCCAACTCACAAACCATGAGGTCAAGACCTGAGCCAGTCGGACACTTAACCAACTGAGCCACCCAGGCGCCCCTATAGAGATCTTAACTAGTTCAGCTCTAGCTTGCTCATAGGTCTTCAAATTACAGGCTGCTACTTATGCCACTTTCTCTTCAGGCCAAGATTATCTCCTCAAAACAATCTACAACCTTTATGAAGGTTGTGTCCGGGTAGGGATTGAGAGGATTCCAGATAATCCATAATTTTTTTTTTCTGGTAATTCTGGAAAAAATTATTCTTATTCAGTCTCCTTAGGGCAGGCTTGACTACCAAGTACTTAGGCACATAGTCCTAGACCTAGTCTTACTCATCTTTGTATGTCTAGTACAAATCTTTTCAGATGTGAATTTGTTTCAACTTTTGGTCCTAGTAGTACTATTTAGTACAGAAATATAAGAGATAGGCAGAGAATCTTCTTCTTATACGGGGGGAAAAAAGTTATTTCCCATTTTTTGGTTAAATAATGTGCCTCAGGCCACTCTTAGTAAACACTGAACTAGTGAATCACTACTGTGTTCCAGGTATTCTTATGGGTGGTGGGGATTAATTAGAGAGGGTTTGACATATGTTGAAGCTCTTGTTTTTTCCAGACTGGGTGAAATTTCAGTCTTTGGATTTTAAAAATATTTGAAACACCCTAGTATTTATAATCTGCCAAATAGATTTCTCTTGTTGAAAATCAGTAGTAATTTCTAGGTAAGCAGATTAGCAAACTGTTTCAATTGAATGTTAATAGTCAAGCTTTAAAAGTCATTGAAATATTATAGGAAAATTTAGAAAAGTATTGACAATCCTACCGTCTAGAGATAATCAATTTTGATTCATTTTTAATATATGTAAGATTATCCTACATACAGAATAAGATACGAAAGTCTTATATCTTATTTTCCCACTTAACTATACCATGAACATTTTCCTGGGTCATTAAAAATTCTTGTGCACAATTTTATGGCTACACAGTAATTCATCATATGAATGTATTATACTTTATGTAATCATTTCCTTATTGTCAGATATTTAAGCCATTTCCCTTTTATTATTGCTATTATTATAAATACTATATTTGTATGTTCTATTATTTCCTTAAGATGGATCCCACAAAGAGTAATGCTAAATGAAGCGTATGATCATATTGAAGGTAAAGAAAAAATATTGTCACATTGCCCTCCAGAAAGAGTGTACTAATTTATATTCCCACCAGAGCATTTACCTGTTTTGCTGCACCAATGCTGGCACTGATGAATATTATTTGATTATAAATTTGCAAGTTTGATCATTTTTAATGGGCTATATTTTATTTACAAATAGTTTATTGTCAAATTAGTTTCCACATAACACCCAGTGCTCATCCCCACAAGTGCCCTCCTCCATGCCCATCCCCCCTCCCCCCCACATCCATCAGTCCTCAGTTTTTGTCAGCATTCAAGAGTCTCTCATGGTTTGCCTCTCTCCCTTTCCCCCACCATTTCCCCCCTTCTTCTCCCCCTTGTTCCTCCGTCAAGTTCCTCCTAATCCTCCTATACGTGCAAACATATGATATTTGTCCTTCTCTGCCTGACTTATTTCGCTCAGCATAACACCCTCAAGGTCCATCCATGTTGCTACACATGGCCAGATTTCATTGTTTCTCATTGCCATGTAGTATTCCATGGTATAGATAAACCACATCTTCTTGATCCATTCATCTGTTGATGGACACTTAGGCTCTTTCCATGTTTTAGCTATTGTGGAGAGTGCTGCTATGAACATTGGGGTACATGTGCTCCTATGCCTCAGCATTTCTGTATCCCTTGGGTAAATTCCTAGCAGTGCTATTGCTGGGTCATAGGGGAGTTCTATTGTTAGTTTCCTGAGGAACCTCCACACTGTTTTCCAGAGGGGCTGTACCAGTTTACATTCCCACCAACAGTGTAGGAGGGTGCCCGTTTCTCCACATCCTCGCCAGCATCTAGAGTTCTCTGATTTGCTCATTTTAGCCACTCTGACTGGCGTGAGGTGGTATCTCAGTGTGGTTTTGATTTGTATTTCCCTGATGAGGAGGGATGCTGAGCATCTTTTCATGTGTCTGTTGGCCATCTGGATGTCCTCTTTGGAGAAGTGTCTGTTCATATCTTCTGCCTTAATGGGCTATATTTTAAATGAATTATGAGCTACAATCATCCAAGAGAAAAAAAATTAAAAAAATACAAATAAGGAACAATCGAAAAATTCTGAAAATGATCAGTATATGACAATGTTCTAGGACCCCAAATGTTTATTTCATATAAAGTCAAAATGTAAACACTATGCCTTTTTGGGAAAAACTCAGATGCCAGGCCAGTAGCACATGTGACTTGATCACATGGACCTAAGTTCAAGCCCCTTGTTGGGAGTAGAATTTACTTAAAAAAAAAACAAACTATAAAACTTCGATATACTAGATAAAAAGAGCAGGAAAAAATATATATGTAAATAATGAAAATACAGATAAAGTTGATATTGTGGTTTCAGACAGCAGTGTTAAAGATGAATGTGGTATTAGACTGCAAGATTTATTTATAATAACTATGCATAGAGTACACAGTTACTATACAAAAGAACCTCTCCCTTCCTGAAGCTGCAATTTTAGTGTCTGTAAGAACTTAGCATGTTTACTTTTTTGCAACCTTGCTTTGCTTGAAGTAAGTGTATGAGGGCTGTCTGAATACAAGAGATGCGATGAGTTAGTTTCTCACTGTTCTTTCTGCCTTCACAGTTGTAGCTGGGACCTTGTCTCTAAATCACACTGTATCATCAGTTCTACAAAGAATTTGTATTGCTTTCCAGCCCCCAATTCCCCTTCCCCCTTTAACTACATAAAAGGCAAACATTTCCAAGAATAAAATCAAGTTGTACTCACAACTTAAGACAACTCTAATAGAAACTTTCTGGTTTTATCTTTGTTTCCCTAATATTTTCTTTAAAAGGTTTCCTAGTCCCAAATCCACTTCTTTCCGAGAAAAGGAGATGGCAACTGTGGTTTAAACCAGTGTTCTTTGTAACCAATGAGATTCACAAATAGCAAATGTGTTTTTTAAAATTGGAAAATGACATACACAACTATATAAAAGAAAGGAATATTCACGGATTTAAAAATTTTTTTAATGTTTTATTTCTGAGAGAGAGAGAGAGAGAGAGAGAGAGAGACAGCGTGAGCAGGGGAGGGTCAGAAAGAGAGGGAGACACAGAATCTGAAACAGGCTCCAGGCTCTGAGCGGTCAGCACAGAGCCCGACATGGGGCTCGAACCCACGAACCGTGAAATCATGCCCTGAGCCGAAGTAGGACGCTTAACCGACTGAGCCACCCAGGCGCCCCCATCGATTGATTTTACAGGGTTCTGTCAACATTATGTTTTGGTCACAGATAGCTAGGTGTGATTTTTAGACCAAAACTTCTCTCTGGCATTGCCTCACCCAAGTCTGCGTGGGGCTATACGGTCTTAGCCTCCTTGAAAACCTGGACCCCCCCCTTCGCATAGCCTCAGGAAAAAACCTTTACAGGTAAAGCTTTTAAATGTAACCTGTCCACCCGAAAAGACTATTTGGTGCTTGTGTCCCTCCCCTAACACTAAGCTTCTGTCCGGAACTTGTATTTGCTTCAGCACACACTGCTCTCCTCTCTGCCGATGCTACAACGCATGTTAAGAATGCCCGACCCCCCTTCTCTTCTTGGCAAACTTGAGCGCTTGGCTCAGGGGGGCCATGCCTCCCAGGTGACCCTCACCAACACAGCCGGCCCTGTTTGGATGTTTCCCTACTTTGAGTTCCCATAGCACTTCTCTCAATTACGTTTTTCTTTGTATTAGAGTCTTAACCTCATAGAAACCGACCATTTCATTTGTCTTTTTACTCTCATGTAATACGTACCTGTTAAAGCTCCTTGAAGGTCTCCAGCTTTCCCCCAAAACGTGAAGTGTCACCGCTGCTTCTGTTACAGCAATTTTGTTACGGTCTTCCTTCCAGAGTCCAAAAATATAGGGGGCTGCTTCTACCTCCCATCAGCTGGTGCCCATAGTACTTCCAGACCTATTCTCATATTCCTCTTAAACATCACAGAATGAATTACGCTCCTTTTCACCTACCTACTCGGAGGGTTTACGTCTCTAATGTAACTTCAGCATAGCTAAAGAAAACCATTTCAGTTGTACCGGGTCATGAACACCGGCGCGTGAGCTCATGCTGGGGATGAGAGAGTCTTGTGGGGCGT